GCCAAGAGAGAAAAAAAATCCTGCAGAATGTGCTGCTGGCAGACAGCTCCTTCAACTCATCGCTCCGTGTGTGTGTGTGCGCGGCTGTGCGTGCGCTTCCCGACCTGCCTGGCTCCAGCAGATGCTCCAGGCTTCCTACTCGCCGGCTGCATTAACCGCTTAGCAAATCTCCCCCACGAGCGTGTCTGGCCGGGCAGCCGCGTGTGCTCGGCCCCGTCTGATGGCCGCGAAGGTGCGAAAGGAAGGGCTGCGAGGAGCCTGGGATTCAAGCTTGGAGCGGGAAGGGCGGCAGCGCCGCTGGGGTGGAGCTGTGAGCACGTCGGAGCCAGGAGAGGAGCGACCCCACGGGTGCTTTGCCACCAGCCTGGTGGGCTTGGCCTCTCTCCGGTGATGTGGCAGGAAGGTCGGGGCTCCTTCGCTCCGCTCTCGGCCTGCACGGCTCTGCGAAAGCTCGTGGGTACCCCGGAGCAGAGCCCAGAGGGGCTCTGGCCCCAGCCTGGCCCTCCCAGGCTGTGCCCACCACCGTCACCTCCCCTGCGCTCCGAGCCAGGGAGCCCCCCTCCAGCTTGCCCAGGGGAGGTGCATGAGAGCAGGTTCCCAAATCATACCGGCTGCTCGGCGGGCAAGTGTTTCTGCTGCTGAACTCAATACTTTCTGTTTTCCTGCCCTTTTCTGTTGAGGGGAAGGTACATCCTAGTGTTGCTGTGTCCTTTCCAAAACGTGCCTCTGTGACGGGGAACACCGATGCGCTGCGGTTGTTTTACATGCCGAGAAGGGAGTAGGGCAGGGAGCTTTAGAGAGAGCCTGCAAATCCAGGTGAAGAGATCGCCCTAACCCGCGTTTACCTGTGCTAAAGGATGTGGCTGTAGGGGTAGCACAGGCTCCTTTGTGCCTTCCTGGGCTCCCAAGTCATCAGTCGCTCACGGAAACAAAGTTCTTGGAAAGTACCCGGTGAAAGTGTCTGCTGCTGTGCTCGGCATCGGGAAGGAGTTGGAAATGGGATGCAAGAAGGGAAGCACTGAAAGCTTCGTTACAACCCGTCAGTGAGGTCCTCCGGCTGCAGTGCCATGCCCCATTTCCATTATTCCATTTTGAAAAGAGGTAGGGAGAGAAAAAGGA